AATTAAACTCTGGGCTATCCTCTAGGACCCAGGCCTGGGTCCTATGGGATAGACCCGGTCCTAAACCCATATACATATGGGTTTAGGACCCAGTTTGGCGTGCAGGCCTGCACGCCAACTGCAGGCCAATCTACCCTGCAGCAGATTGGCGTGCGCCATGGGGGTTGGCGTGCGCTTATCAACCCCCAGTTTCAACTCCAATGTAAAATATCAACATCTAAAAGTAAAACATAATTGCATACAAGCAGACAGGATAGCAAAGAGAATTTCATTTTTTTTATGTGAATGAAGGCATTCATATCATAGTGAAAGAAATTAGTGAGCATTCTCCAATTGTTTGGTTAAATTTTCAATGGAGTGAAAGAATATCTTGTTGAAGAATCTCTTTGTAGCTTCCCAATAGAATTCTTTGATTATTGAATTGAACAATTCTGGCCTGTAGGTTTGCATCCAAATTTCCAGCAAAGCCCATAGTCCAATGTAGACATTTGAGTTTGCTCTTCCATTAGTTACAGATTTCTTGATTTTATGTGTTTTCTTGTACAGTTCAGTTTCTCTTGATTCTTTGGTGAACTTTCTGGGCCTGTATATATTTTCAACCAAATTAAATGCCCTTCTCACTTCTGCACCTACAGAATATCCCATTGTTTCAACTGGCACAATCATGCTGATCATCTCAACATAAAATAAGTATGTCACAATCATAGTTCTCATCTTGGGCCCAAGGTTTTCTGGAAAAATTTCAAAATGAATATTTGCTATTTTGTTCCAATGCTGATACCAAATGTCATGGTTTTGAAGGAGTTTGTCCAGCATGCTCATTTTCTGGTAGTACCTTTCTTCATTAGTGATTGTATGCTTTTTATCACCATCACCATTTGTGTCATGATTGAAGTAGAGTACCATGCAGAATTGAATGAATTGCTTCTCTGTCATAATTAGCTTGTCTGCTTGAAGATGAAGACGGATCAGCTTTAAAATCTTGGAAATATCTTCATTATCTCTTGGGGAAGTGGGTGAGAGGATGAAGATTGTTTCATCAAATTTCAATCCCTCTGATTCAGATTCATTCTTGTAATATCTTTGCGTCAAAAAGTGATCATTAGAAGTTACTCCCTTGGTGATTTCTAAGGTGGGTGGTATTGCAGCAATTGGAGTAGTTCCTGGATTACTGGATGCTTTGATTGGCTGCTGATCTTGCTTGTATTCTGATAAGCAACCTGAATTTTCATAAAGGGTGTTTGGCTTGCAAGGTTGGTTTGAGTGTGCTGTGTTTTCTTCCTGCTCCAAAGTGACATCCCCTTGTGGTTTGAGCAAAACACCCATCAGTTTGATTAATTTCTGAGGTCTGCTCCCATGTTCAACAGGTAAAATCACTGTTAAATCTTTTGAATCACTGTAAGTTTTGGTGAAATCTGGATCATTGTGTTCAATTCCCTGATTAAATCTGCTGCTTGATCCTGGATTCCTCTCACCAGTGGCAGCCCCCATTGACACATCTGGCGGGTAATAATCCTTGGTAAATTTGTGATTAATTGGTTCCTTCAAATTGCTGTCAAACTGTTGTTTTTTTGGATGAAATGTCTGGTACAAACTAGCCAAACTCAGCTCACTTCCATCAAGCCTTGAAGTAGCTAATGGAAGATGTTCTTGTGAAGGTTTCCCACTGGAGTGAAATCCAAAATGATTTGTGGAGCTGCTTGACAGATGGTCAGGAGAGGTCCAAAGATTTCCACAGCTTGGAAGAAGATTTTGTGTTTTCCCATCAGAAACATCTTGAAGCTGGCGGACAGGGAAGTTATCCATTGCGCTGCAGGGGAATGCCAATAAATAACCAAAAATATGATACATTGCTTATGATGACTTGTAGTTGGAGATTCAAATAAAATTTCACAGTGAATTTATCTTGATTTTTTCCAAAGATTTTAGAGGGTGATTATTATATGCCACTGAGTTTTTGTGTCACTCTGAGCAATTGGAATCAATACATCATCCAAGCATCCCAACAAGGTGATCAGTGTCATGTGCAGTAGCCTGACAGGTTGATTTCTGTTGTGTGTGATAATGTGGATGTGGCAAGTATCCAGTGGTAAAAAAAGATTGATGAAACAATCACAGTTATTGTATTACCCTGGCCCTTACTCTGAGATCAAACAATTGCTCTGGAAAATCACTGCTTTATAAAAATAGGAGATGCTTTAACTTGCTCTGCACATGAAGACCTTCCTTTTTGTGGATAGTATCACAATGTGTATTGGTGAAGCATTGCATTTCAAGGCACAGTCTCCTTAGACTTACAGTTCAGTTATCATTAAAGTACAATAATGTATCCACCTGAGAGGGATTACAGATTTACTATTAACTTGCTCTGGCACTCACAAAATGAATTTTTTGTGGCATGTGAATTTTGAACAGGCATCAGATTTTCTGAAACTTTAGCAGAGTCAAACTGAGCCATAGGAATATCAAACTGCTCTCAAAGGGTTCCATGTCAGGGCCTATGACACATTAACAAAACTTGATGAACCCCCCAGTCCATTCAGATTCACTTGACAGACCAGAGAACATTTTTCCTCACCGCAGAAGCTCTACCAAAAAAATTTCAGGAAAACATACAGCACAAGCACAAGAAAGATTACAGTTTGATGTAGCTAAAAAAACAAGTAAGGCCTGATCTGACTCTGAGTGTACAATAGTACCTTGTATGGGCAGTTCCATACATTGGTATGGTTAGAACAAAACAAATTTTTCTGTTTTTTATGTGTTTCATTTTTTGTATGTTTTCAAGCTTTGAAGAGTTGCACAATCCAAATGCTTGGTGGAAGTTTGGGTCTGTCCAGCCTTCCACTGATCTGATTACATATACCTATGATCATATGTACAGGATTGGAAGGGGAAAAGGGCCCGACTGGCCACCCATGATCTCAGATGTTTTTTTACTCTCAACTTCCAAGCTTTACTGGCTGCCACACTGCATCATCTGGCTGATCAGGTCAGATGGCAGCTAAAACAAGAATTTGTTTCTCAGCTATGTCAAACTGCAAGCTTTCCTGTGTCTGCTGCATTTTTCTTGATGAACCTTGTTTCCAATGATACAATTTGTAAGAAATAAATTCATGGATTTTACAATTTCCAAACAACAAGGGGGGGGGGTTCAAATAGCACTACAATTTTTATTTGTCTGCTGATGCACAATGTTGTTGGTTAAGTTAAATTGCGGGATTTTGCTTCTCCTCAAGGAGAGCTTCCCATCAAACATTTATACTTTCCAATCAAACAGCAAAACAAAATCAATTAATTGTGATATACCCTGATTTCAATGTGACTCAAGTTTCTCCTCTTCAGAAGTAAGATCCAACGGTCCAACTGCACTAGCAACTGAGTCAGAAATCCTGGTTCAAAATCTGAAACCGGTTGGCTTGGAGTGACAACTGATCCATATACTACAATCCTATCCAAGCAATTACTGCCCATAAAAATTTTCAACGTCAACCATGATCTGAAGGAAATATGCCCTCTGAGAATGCTTCCAGAGACATCCCAGGCCATATGTTTGTTATGTAGACTTCATCATTGCATGCATTGGGCTTGGCAAACTGAATCGGAGAAATGGTATAAGGGTATAAGTTTGCGAAGTTGGCACAATTGACCACCGAGGCAGTTTAAAGGAAAAGCAGTTGAAAGGCTGCTTCTGAGTAAAGAAACAGGGACACGGGCACCCCTTTTTTGAAGCTCTATGTTCCAGACGCATCATGTACTCAAAAAACACGAACATCTTGGAGCAACTGAACAATCCAGCTTCCGTGACAAGAGTGTATACATAGAAACTCAGCAATCGGAGAATGAATATCACAAGCTATGAATATCTTGTAGAGCTGAGATAATCTTCGAGCATCTTCAAGGATGCTGGACTGTGGGTACATCTTCTATGTAGCGACTCTGTAAGATCCAAATTTATGAGCTGTATAGATAAAAAGAAACATAAATGAAGATGGGCCGGATAGCTTAGCTGCAAGGACTACGCAAAGATCGGTGTGCCATAGACCCGGTTGTAATTGGCCGGTGACAATATTGTGGGGCAAGTGGAGTGCGATCACAACTTGCAAGGGAAGAATCGATGAGCTTGGCTAGATCATAATAACTATGGCAAGGTCAAGTAGGTCCTGCTGTCTCGGGCAAGCTTCTATGTATGTATGCCGTCTAATTATAGCGACGCGATTTTCTACTTCCGATCAGCTCCATCACAAACATGCTCGATGGCCTATCCCCCAAGCTGCTCTCCAATTTCCACTGTACACCGCGATTTCTCAGCTGGGAGAGCCTTGAAGAGCTTATCGTATGTATGTACTGCTGTAAGTTGAACATCATCTCGCTTTTGCTGGGGGGGAGGAAGAGCGACTAACACTGGCCTGAAGGCTGAAGCCCCAAGAGTGCTGCTCCGCTGGAGCTTGAAGTGTTTGGGAGCGCTATGGGCTTCAGACGAATTGACTGGTGATGGCCATCTTGCCCCTCGGCCTTACCTTCTGGTGGCTGGCTCATCCGGTGCATGTCCTCTTGCTTCTCACCACGACCAGTGACGAGCTGATCAGAGCCATACCCACACCCAGTCGCCCATCAAACCAGAGATCTCACCAAGGCTCGTTTCGCTCCATCCGAGCTGAATCGTGCACCGGCCTGCCAAGGATTGTCGGCCACTCACCCAACCCGTGTCCGGAGTCAGGACCGAACCCCACGTCGGTTGCTCCACTCTAGTCTTTACCAGCCATCTTACACATATGAAACCAAGTGTGGTGGTCCTGTTTTAAGCAAGGTTATCCCCCAGCTTGGTTTATTCGCTTGCCGGGCCATCCAGCCATCTATCAGAACTCTCCCCATGTTCTTCTACATATATATATAAGACTCTCCCATCCATCCCCCCCCCCCTGGAGAGCTTGCTCATTCTGCTGGCCTAGATCTGTCTATTAGATCCTCCTTCAGCCACATAAATACCATCTCATCCTCAGCCCTTGGAAGCCACCTTCATCTTCTACACTGCCTATCCACAACCTGCACAATCAGATCCCCCGGCTCTCTCTTCACAGCTGACAGCCCCCACTGCACAACAAATATCCAACCCCATCCTCCAAGCCCCCGATAATCAAGCCGTCCTGTCTGCTTCCTCTGCCCGCATCCTATCTCTTATCTCTTATCAAAAAAAAAAAAAAAAAAAAAAAAAATCAAACGGAGAACAGGCAGCTTTTCTTCCGTCTTAATTTCACCTTCTCAAATCTGCCACTAGCTAGCAAGCCTTGGCTATCATGGCACAGATCACCGCAGACCCTCGAGGGATCACGTTGCCCTATTCCTCGCTGTTTAATGTCACTCTGCGTGCCCAGTCAACGCGCCTGGTCAAATCGAGGCCCGCGGAGTATTTTTGGAAGAAAGCTACGACTAGTGCGGCTTCGAATCTTACCGCTCACGAAGGAGGACCCAAGCAGGAGGAGGAGGAGGAGGCCAACAATGTCTGTTGGCTCGATCCCTGGGCGCCGGCTATCAGTGATAGCGAGCATGAGTCTCCCTCCCAGCCTATGACCCGAGGACAGTCGAAATCTAAGAAAACTCTCCGGTTCACCCGCTTAAGGACCATTGCCTTCAAGGCCTTCAGTCATAATAATCCTGACGCCAAGGGAAACAAACGCAACATCGTCACCAGTACTGAGGTCTTCTCCCATCAAAAAACCAACAACGGTCTGGACCATCAGGGCTCCTCTTCTGATCAACCCAAGCCTACTCGCGGCACATCTTCTATCTTCAAGTCCTGGAAATTTAAATCGAATCCGAACAATAATAATAAGACCCATGTCAAGAAGATGGTCGTGGTTCTCAAGAACCGGATCAGCGCTTCTAGTCCCCGAGACCAACATCCCAAAACATGGGAAGACTATAATCGTTTATATGCCAACGTGAGTTTAAGATCCTTCGTCGAGTGTCCACACGATACGACACGATGTCTGTGACATTTACTGATCAGATTTATTTTCCGCATCATCGCAGGAAGAAATCGATGTCATCAATCCCCCATTACCGCCGATAGAATCAAAGCGTGAAGAAGAGGGCGACGGGGAAGTGGGGATCAAGTTCTACCGCGCCCCAGCTCCGACGAACGAGTCGGTGCGCCAACTAGTGGTGAACCGGCTCGGGATCCTGGGGGGGAAGCCATTCGACCCGACCGAAGACGGCTCAGCGAGGGCGAAGACTCGGACCGAAATCGGCGACATGTTGATTGCACAGGGCAAAGTGCCGGCCAGTCTGGAAGTCTATTGGGAGCATGACCGGCATTCCTTCCCGACTATCCAGGACCCTCGGGCCTTGATCGGCGACGTCCGCAGTGGAAAATTGCCCCCCGAAACACTCGAGCAACATCCTATCTTCAGAAATATCGTCAAACGTTGTCGGGAGCTGTTTGGGACCGCCTTAGGAATCTTATCGGTGAGTTGTTATTCATCCTTTTTTTTTCTCTCTCTCTCTCTTGAAGGGCGCTCGCAAATGAGCAGTATAGCCTCATTTTACTCACCCTCTCCTGCCCCCCTTTTTAGATTCTCGATGATGATCGCCAAGTATTCTTGGCTGAATCTGGTATGGAAGAGGCCGGTATGGGAGAGATGCGAGAGGTGACTAGAGACATATCTTTCTGTGCGTAGAGTTTCATTGATACATTTGTAGATCTAAGACAGCGACTTACGAATCTGCTTTCTCGTTTTTTCCCCCCGTTGGTTTTACAGGTGCCCACACAATTCTAAGTGGTCGCAAGGGCCTGACTGTGCTTGATGCAAAAAAAGACTGGCGATTTGGAGACGGACCATTGGTGCATGATTTCGGGGCAAGGTTCTACGCAGGCGTGCCGTTGATGGCGCCGAACATGGATGGCAGCCAAGAGGCCGAAGCAAACTCCTGTCCGATCGGGACCTTGTGTATCTTGGACTTCAGCCCCCGGGAGTCGTTCAGCTCGGAAGACCAAAGGAAGCTGGTATATCTCTCCGAATATGCTCGCCGAGAGATCGAAAAATGGTTTGCTTGTAAGATCGATCACAAGCTTGGAAGGCTCTCGGCTACTCAAGAGGTCTGGGATCACGAGTTGAAGCGCGTTGCTAGCGCTAATAGCGATGGAGAAGACTCGCTGGAATCCGAGGTCTTGTGTGATACCCCTAGGTCGCGCCTCAGGAGTCCCACATCCTCTCACCTTTCATCTGGCTTCAGAAAGTGGAGAAGCATCAGCTCGATCTCAACAGCCCCCCCTTCGTCGCCGTCCCAATCGACCGCCAGTCCCAAGTCGCCGAGCAAGCCAAGTCCGGGCCTGTTTGAAGATGTGAATGCGGCAGTGAAACCGAAGATGCGAAAGGTATTCGACCTGGCGACCAAACTGCTCGCGGAAACCTTGGACTTATCACTCGTCTATCTGATGGCTGTTGCGCCCGAGGGACCATCGCAAGATCTCGGCCGGACCTTGATCATCTCGGGCCACAACATCCCGCTCCCGGTTCCCGAACTGGACGCCGGCCTCCATCTGCGTGTCTTGCGCTCGGACGAGGGCGGGCTGATATACCAAAACCCAAGCGTAGAAGAGGCTAAAGAGGCTGCCTTACAGCCTAAGCTCGGCTGCAACGCAGCTTCTGACCCGTATGCATCTGCAATCCTCCTCGCCGTCGGCTCGGAATCTCTTCCCAACGCTGGCGGCTTCGTGTTGGCAGGTTATACCAACGACCGTAAGAGAGTCTTCGGCGCTGAAGACGTCTCCTTCATGAAACAGTTTGCCCAACAACTGTCAGCGTATACTTCAAAATTATCTCTTCCTACAAACCAGTAAAAACTAGCAACCATCAAATCGTTCAATAATATCTCCTATGACTACTTTATTGTTGAGCTATCTATGTAGTGTAGTTTACATAGCGCTACTGTTTCGTGCTTCTTTCTCTTTTGTCATTTCTCACATGTCACACCTTGTGACATTCATTCTGTTTTCATTTCTCTCTTATACTGGGGACAACTGAGTTGGAAAGGATCCCTTTTCTTCATCCTTTCCAACCTCATTGTCTCCAGGTTAGTTTTTCTCTTCTTTTCTCTTCTCTCTTTCTTTCTCTTGGTTGAAATGACACATCAATCCTTTCCAACCTCATTGTCTCCAGGGTGTCCATTCCAACATTTATAATCCTCATTCATCCATTCAATCTATCTATCGTAATCCCCTACTTATATTCAGGGAACTAATCAAATGGAGACCGATTCCCGTGACTCAGCGAGAACATTACAAAATACATCACCTGCAGCAATCTTGACCTTTTTTTTTTTTTTTTTTTTTTTTCAAAAAATAGTAATCTTGTTTCCCTCTTCTCCTAATTTCCCATCCTAATACTACCGAATTTTGCTAATTTATTAAGACCTGTTGTTATCGACCCGCCAAGCTGGAGTACTTCAATCTCTTCCTCTCAATGATGCATAACTTACTCAAATCCCCCTTGAAAAAAAAAAACCAATCTGACAAACTTAATTTGTTGATTGATTCAAGAAGCCTTACAAATGCATTAATTCCCTCAAAGGCTTGCAAGCCCCCAACACAGATGACAATCTGGTATCTTCAGTGAAATCAATGCTTGCCCATTCAGAAAGCATTTTATTTTAAAGAGATTTGGATATTTTTGCCAGCAAGACATTCCCTTGGATCTGTCCAAGAACCGGGGATGCGGGTTTCAAACTGGCTGAGTTGCGGAGTGTTTCAGGACTCAAGATGGAATGACTGAATTCTAATTTGATGGCATCGGAATCCATAGAATCGATCAATCTCATAAACAGTACCACATCCAACTCAGGCGGTCAGAGAATCTCACAATTTGATCACTTATAGAAAACGAAAACAAAGGCAGGGAATGATGTTGAAAATAAAAATAAAATATGAACACCCAAGCTTCAAGCGCCAATATCAGGAGAATGTGCAAGTTTTAATCAATCATCTTGAGCCCCAGATTGAGATCTTACCCCCCATCAATGTAGCAAGAAAAAGTGAGAATGAATGTATATAAATATCTAACTCCAAGGATTCGATGTAAGTACTCTGATCAGATCTGGGTCCAGCCCACATCCGAAGTTTACCCCCAATGCTTGGCTTCACAGAGATGATGATGGATATGAGAACTAGAACAGGAGTGTAGTGGCCCAGACCTGAGGCTGAGCATCAACCAACCCAACAGTTTATTTGAGGGCACAGTACAGAACACTAGAGTGTTTATTTAGATGTGGAGTCAAGGAGAGGGATACCAGAAGTGGTTATGATATAGGAGACAAGGTAAATAGTAATACATCTGCATGGAATGCTTGGGATCGTCACCCCAGTAAACCACCGGACACTGTTGTCTCATTGATCATGTGTGTGATCAACCATCAGCACACATGATGCTCATTGTTGGCTGTCGATCAAGTTTCAGCTAGTACGATTGAGACATATATACATACTATATAAGACATGCAAATAAGATATGTTATTATCTACAACCACTTGATACACACACACACACATAACCGGGCCGATTGATTGATTGATTCTTTTTGATTTTTTTTTTTGAAGGATCTCATCATGACTGTTTTCGTTTCATATTGAACATGATTGAACATCGTCAAACAAAAAAAAAAAAAAAGCAGAAACAAAAAAAAGGAAGGTGAAGAGGGTAAGAGAAGCAGCGGAGATAAGAGACACCAAAGAGAGAGAGAACAGAACAGACCCAAAAAAAGACGACAAGAGAGAGAGAGAGAGAGAAAAAAACAATTAGGAGGAAGAAGAGAGCGGGACGAGTGCGGGTTTAGTAGCGAGCGAGAGTTTGAGCTTGATAGTCGACTCGAGCGCGTTGAGATAAGTGGTGTATTTGATGATCTCAGCCATCAGATACTGCGACTTTTTCTCCCAATTGGCCATTGCCTTTTGCAGATAAATCGGCCGATTCCAATACTTTTAAATAATCATCAATCCATCCATCAAAAAAAAAAAAAGAAGTCAGTAATGAAGTGCAAAAGGGAAGAAGAAGAAGAAGAAGAAGAAGAGGGAGAGGGAGAGACTGACCATGTTGACCATCGGTCTTCTCAATAGATTATGTCTCTCGAGTTCTACTTGCATGTGAGCGTTATGACGTCGAAGGTTTTCGAGTTGAGCGTGTTCAGGAAGGGAGCTAAGGGCCATAGGGGGCACGGGAGGGTTCCAGTCGCAGATGGTCAGTTTATCGGGGACGGGGGGTTGAGGAGGCACGCGATCGAGATGGAGATTGGAGCCGGTTTTGAACTCGGGTTGGGAGGGGGTACCATGGGTGTCGATGCTCGTAGCAGAGTTTGACCAATGTTCGACATCGCTGGCTCGGTTGGACGGGGTGATCGAGGTGGGCGAGTGAGGAGTGCCGAGGGGCAGACCGGTGAAGAGGCGGTCGCGTAGCCGTCGACCTTTGTGACTGTGGCCCGAGTGACCACTGACGATGCTCATCATCTCCTCCTGATCGCCCTGACACTCCCGCAACTCTTCCTTCTTCTCCACTACACTCGGCAGTTCCGCCTCCAGTAGTTGGTTCCATCCGTACTCCATGTTCGACACCCCGCCCGTCAGCGGCTCCTTGCTCAACCGGGCTGCCCAGTAGTTGCACGTCGATACCCACTCGTACACTAACTCCTCCGTCCCCGCTTGGAAGAAATACGAGGCCCCATTAGAGAGCGTCAGGACGAAGACGTGTGAGCGTTCTTTACTGTATCCAGAGACGAGCACACTCGTCAGCGCATGCGAGAGAGTGATTGACCCCAAGAGCTGTGCGTTGGGAAGCCAATTTCCTCCCCCAACTCCAGATTTCCCATCCGACCCGATCGTCTCGGTGTGTCCGACTTCGCTTTCAGCTTGACCGCCGCCATAGCCTCCACCAACAGAAGCACCGCCACCGCCACCAAACTGAAACATCTTCAACACACCCGTCTGGATGACCACGAACACCTGTGCCCAACCTCGATCCTTGTGTCTCTTGCCCTTCGATTCCCAATATTGCTTGCGCTGGAGAATTCCCTCCTTGGCCCAGGGCGCTCCTAGCAATGCCAACTCGCTATCCCTGGTTTGCTCATCATCGATTTGACTGGTCTCGAGTGACTCTTCTTCGTGCTGTTCACGGATGATCGATTGCGAGAGGTTGGAGACGAAGCCGATCGAAGGAGTTGTCAGATTGGTGAGGTTGAGCGATGATCCTGCGTTGGACGAATAGCCCTGTAGATACAAGTTCAAGTTCAACATCAATCAACATTCCCAAAAGAGATAAGAAAAACAAAAGACACAAAGAGAGCATATATTTACCATCATGCCCGAAGGCAGGCTTGAAACCGAGGTGCTAGCACTAGGTGTTGGACTGTTGGGTCTTCCACCTGGCGTATCCGGTCCAGCTGAGAGCATCGCAGCGAATCCGCCAAACCCGCGCAGACTGGCGCGCTTATGGGGACCAATAGAGTCAGCGACGCCGTGAGTGTAATGACTGCGTCGACTTGCTATCCGTTGAAGGCTACCATACGGTCCAGGCTCATGCGATTGAGATTCGACCAGATTTTGAGCAATCGGATGACTCTTAACGGCCATGTAAATTTCCTATAAGAAAAAAAAAAACCCCCCGGAATGATTATCAACAACTGAGTCTAAATCGGTAAATAACTTTTGAGAAACAAACTGCCAACCTTTAAGAGGGCCTCGACTTCCTTTTCGAACAAGGCTTTGTTGGGTCTGTCAGGCTTTGAAGCCGGGGATCCGTTTTCGAGCGAGTTGAGATGGACAGTGCTTGAGAGATCTTCGGTTCGATTAGCTGCAGGAGAGCAAGATGCACCGGTGTCGATGGACGCAGTACGCTCGTGATCAGTAGAACTACTCCCTGGCAAAGGAGTGCCGGCGCTGGTTGTTTGAAGGTCGTCCTCGCTGGGCCAAGAAGTGATACTTTGGCTCCGACGGGGAGTTTTGACGATGGACTGTGAGCCGGTCCGGAGCGCATCCCGCCATCGCTCCATCGAGGGCCGAGTGGCAGTCTGCGAGGACATTGCCGAAGCCGGCAGCACTCGACTCATGTCGACAAACGAGGTCCGTCGATTCCGCATCGCCATACTAGCAGCGCTGCTTCCAGCTTTATAATTGCTCCCGAACGTTTCATTGTTTGATGAGGAAGACCGAGAGGGTTCCATCAATAAGCCCTTGGATCGATTGGCTTCGGGAGTTTCCAAGTGGGACAGTTGCGCAAAGACGGTCTCCATCGTGTTACGGACAAATTGTGAACGTGACATTCGGGAAGTCGTGTCAACGACGTGTAGATCGGTATTAAGCAAAAGAATCGAGTAAGACATAGCATGAACCATATCTAAATGTTGGGGGCATCCGGTAGAGAAAAATGTCAGTCGTGACATACTTTGGAAATAAAAAGAGCTGATCTGAAAGAAACTGACCAGCATTGACGTAGATGTTGGACTGATTCTGCTCCCAATACCTACGGCTGAACTCGGCCAAGATTCGATCGACTTGCTGAGTTTCACCCTTGAGAAACATCTTCGTACAGAGCTTCCTGAAAGCAAGATCAATTCTGAGGTCTTTGAAGTCGAACTTGTCCATGAACGCGCGACGCGTTAGAACTTGTAACTGGTTCTCGGGCGTCTCGGGGCAACCAAGCCATTCAGTCAGCTTTCGACGCTTAATAATCGATTCATCCTCCTGCCAGAAAAGCTCGGCAAGTCTGCTAGCGTTTGCTTCAGGCGTCATACCCGGAACGTGAAGTGAATGTCGCGAACCCGAATGGAGTGAGTCCGACTTGTCTGAGTTGCCAGAATTAGAAGAGGAACTTGGGTTCTGTAAGGTGTGTGATTGGGGATGAACGGTGAGATTATCCCGCCCGTCTGGTGGGATTGCCGTCGATTGTTCGTCAGTCTGCTGCGGCCCAGAGACAATGACGGAAAAGAACGAGGATTCGGGCGGAGTTGATGGACGAAGAGCCCTCAAGTTAGGAGAGGATTGATGATTGCGAGGGGTGCGAGAATCTTCGTTAGAGGCGCCCGACTTTATTGGCTGTGCCTTGTCAATGTCACGTCTTTGAAGCTGAGGATTATGTTGGGTGACAGGACGATCAGACTCGACGATTGGCTTGATACCTAAACCTGCGTTGCCTCGCTTGGGTTGAGCAGTTTTGGACAACTGAGCATGATGAGCCCTGATGGGAGGCGAGGCATGTCCAGACGGCTTGGTAAATATGGAGGGATCTCCACGGTTAAAAATGGATGATCTTGGATGTGATGGAGTTGTCGAGCTGATGGGTTGTTTGGAAGGGGAGGAGGAGGAGGAGGAGGAGGTTGAAAGGCTAGGGGCGTTTTGATTACCTGCAACAGGAGGATTTGCGTGGTCTTGCTCCGATGTAGAAGTAGTGTGGGAGGAGGATACGAGCCGGATGCTGGGCGATAGAAGAGATAAAGGATCATCAGTCTCGCTATCTTCATTTTCAGGTGCGAGTCCAAGCTGCTGATCAACCGTATTAGAGGGAGCTGTTTCAAGGTTGGTCGTGCGAGATACGGGCTGTGAAGCTGTCTGAGGACGGAGGCTGGGATGTCTTGATGGGGCAGGGAATTGACTTCCGAGCAGCTTCGGTGCCAGTGCATGGTCATCCTCGGTGTAGCCTCGCCGTCGGAGGCTGTTGCCACGGGTAGAAGTGACCGGGCTAACACTGACATCGCGACTCTCTTTCATCGAGCTCGCTCGGGACACGAAACCCTGCTGCGAGCTGGAAAGGCCTGAGGTACTCAAGTTGGGTGATGAAATCGATCCGGGATTGACCTGAGTTGTTGAGCTGTCGCTTGAAGGGCTTTGCTTCGAGCTGAGGGCAAGAGGTGAAACGAGTGCCAGACTGGAGGATGGGATGGGGCTTGTGGAAGTATCGAGATTGAGTGCTCTGATCCGTGCGAGACTGCTGTGGGACTTGTCAAAAGGTTCGGCCGGATATCTGGCCTGGATGGCGGTACGGTTCGGATTCACCAAGCTGGGTAAACAAGGAGTGGCAGAGAGGGTGGAGCTGTCTGGAGGAAGTGGATTCTTAGTTAGGTTATACTGATGGATCGAAGGCGGGCTCAGGATTAGCGACTTGTGATACGCCCGCTCAGAAATCGCGCCGTCTTGGACGTGCGAGTTGTTAGGGTCGTTCAGATCAGATGCAGCTGAGAAGAATGATGACATCGAACCAGATGATGAAAGAGCGTCAATGTCAGGAGCTGATTGTGAGTCAAAGCCAGTAGGGTGAACAACTTGATGCAAATGTTCAGTTAGTTTATGAGGGCGGAGAGCAAGGGAAGACTGACAAGCTTTAGGAGTCATAGGTGAGATGGAGGATAGACCGCCTCGAAGGATACCATCTTGATCGATATTCCAACGCTCCAGGCTCAGTCGAAGTTTTTCCTCCTCACTCAGCCCGGTGGTACTCGAGAGATTGGATAAACGATGAGATTGAGAAGGGGAATCCGGCAAAAAGGATGATGAAAGAGATGCCGAGGCATGCTGAGTAAGTGAACCGCCTGGAAGCCCAATCTGGCCACCGTCGACGGTGCTCGAATTCGAGCCCACAAAGGTAGTGGAAGTGAGCACGGGACGATTTTTACCTGGCCCACCGGAGTCAAAGGATGCTGGGACGGTTCGAGTCTTTGACAACGACGTGGGGGGGAAGTTGTTTGAGCTTGGGGAACGTGATTGGGCCCCTCGCGGGCTTAGAGGATCCGGGCGCTCGCTGTAGGAGACTAGAGCGCGGGAGGTTGAATGCAGCCACGAAGACTTGGGCTGAGAAGAAGGGGATGGTAAGGGGGGTTGTTGTTGTTGTTGCTGCTGCTGTTGATGTTTGAAGGAACTGTGTGCGGGGCTATGTGACCTGCTGGAGGGGCTTGGCGAGAAGAGAGATTCAGAGGGCGAGCCATGACGGGTCAGCTGAGAGGCAGACATAGACTGGCGGAAGGCTTCTTGGTGAGAGTTAAGTGATGGGGTTGAGTGAGTTGGAGTAGATGAGCCTGGCTGCTTGGAGTCCTGTGAGTCTATTGAATGGGCATGTTGTTGGGAATGGCGGGTCGAAGCAGTGCTGGAGAGACGTGACTTGAGAGGCATGGGTGGAGGCGGATTTGATGGGGTGATTGAGCTGGAATGATAGGAAAGTGGGATGATAGGCACTGGAGGGGTTAAGTTGGAAGCGTGATGGTGGTGGGACGAGTCGCTGGTCAGAGGGTGGCGAGGGGTGCGTGACTCGGAGTGAGTTGGGGTGAAGGTCAGCTCGAGTGGTTGGTGAGTATTGGCCGTGGGTGAATCTTGACAGTTCAAATCGGCTTGAGACAGCGAGGTACTAAGCTTTCGGCGGAAGAAGCCACTCCTCTTGCGCATGGTAGCAGTCGAGACCTGGTGCAGCTTCTTCTGATGAGAGGGAATCTTTTACAGTGAGAAGAGAAGACCGCAGAAGGGGATGGGAGGAGGAAAGATGTGGTTGAGTTAGGAAGACCCAACCCAAAAAAAAACAAAGCAAGCAAGGAAAGCACTGTTAGTTTTTTAGATAAGAAGCGGACCAGGATGACACACTCGACAGACAGCCGTCGATCTTGGACACTCGTCCGAGTGCTTGCGAAGGTATAGGCAGTAGATGATCTAGAAGGGATGAGGAAACAGGCTTGCTATACATAAATAGCGCAAGCAAGCCAGGGAAACAGACCAGACTGAAGAGGTATGGACCCTTGCGAACCGGAGCAGAACTACATAGAGCTGGCGAGGGAGCTAGCCCGTTTTCCCATGGGGATATCCCTACTTGTGGAGTATATACAGATGTAAACAGCAGCCAATGCAGACGGACAGGATGCTTGAACGAGCTTCCAGATCCATCACTACAGTCTGAGAGGCTGCTCAAGTGGGATGATGGTGGGATCAGAGCTGATGAGTACTATCAGACAGGAATGAATATGGGTGTCGGATATACTTCATGCACCAATAGCTAAGGGTGACTTGCCCCTTCGAAGTGACAGCCAATCGCAGACTGTATGAACTCAACACCAAGCAGACACGCTAGTGCTTGGTTTAGCTTGGGGGGCAGCATCAGCTTGGGCTGAGATAACGAAACTTTATGAGCCTGGAAGGTGGATGATATTCAAAAGACTTGCTATGTAGGATCAGATTCAAACTTGTTCGGATCCCAACACTTTCTTTATAGCCAACCGCGAGATTCAAAGCTTGTTACCATTTTTGCAACTGAGATGATTACTACACTGCAATCAAGAAAGAAGAAATAAATAAATAAACAGACCAACTCCGACAGGCTTACAATCTTGCCGTTGCGAATCCAATCAGGAATCCGCTCAAGATCGACGCCGATCGAGAGAGATGGTGTACATATGTAGAACCGGTGTGGAACGGGCTCAGGATGCCTGCTCCCTTTAAAAAAAAAAGAAAGACGACTTGCTCAAGAGGAAGGAGTGACAAGGCCTCGCATACTTGGGCTGTACATCCTTGGATTGTGTTATTGAATTCCCGATCTCTCGGACTGTCATCATCCAGCCTG